ATGTGACCTTGAGTATGCGGTAAAAAGAAAATTGAATATGCAAATTTTGTTCGCCTTCTCTTTCAATGATCCTAAAACTTTTCCACTTGTCAAAAAATCTTACATCCGACATTTTCGTGCAAACGCGAGTTTAGACTTCTAGCGAATGTAACTCTTCGAAATGGATTCTGTGGCTATCATCCAACACATATTGGACAAATTAGAGACTAAGAGCTTGCTAACGAGACATTATCCGATTCTTAAGAGAACTAGGCGACTTGAACCTAACAGCCACAAAGTACTATTTTTCGCAGCAATATTCGCTCGAACTTCGTTTTCATGAATCTTTTCTTTAGAGCATGGAAGAAGTTCCTCCTAATCAGTGCACATCCTTGCCTAAACTTAGTATTCGGATTCCTCCGAAGAACTTCCCACCCATGGCAAATCGAACACGAAATTTTTAGCTTCTGTTTTGAGCTACGCCATGCACACGCCTGTCCTTCGAAATAGCGAAAGCATCTGAAATCTTTGAAAGTTCTGATGCTACTTCTGCTACCCTCTGCTGCTGCTAAAAAAAGGAAGCCTGCGGTTAGCCCTACTTCTGGTCAAACTGCATAAACTTGGCAGCTCGTCACTGTCCCTGTGGCCACAGACAACGCTGTTTTACCCCAGGCAGTGATAGAACCCTTGTGCTTTGAGTTTGCAGATTTCACGTCTACCTGAAAGCATAAATGATTGTGACAAGGGGGTCAAACCGTGGAACCCTTGAAAATACCGTCCTAAAAAATTGAATCGGTCAGGCGCAACGGTTAGTCCTGCGCTGAACCCTCGGCAGGTAACGTGTCATAGATTAAGCGCAGCTAACTCGAAGAAGGCTCCACACATAAAGCAGGTAACTGAGCCACCTGGTGACCCCACCCTTCTAGAGCCTATTCGGTTCAGCCACTTGCTCTTTCCGTAACGTTTGATACTCATTCAGATGCTGCCCTTTGTACGTCTGTACACTCCTTCCTTTACAAGGTCATTTTTGGCAGGAAGGGGGGGGGGGGGGAACATTCATGGCAAGGCCGATATTTAGGTGACACCAAATTAAGCCCAGAAGATGGGAGAAACGCCAGGGAAAACCCAAATGGCCCACATCTTCCTCCAGCACCCATCATCTCCCTAGGCCTGAGTCGCAAGTATCATGAGTGGCTCGCTTACTTCAATGTGCTTACCCTCCCCTACCGACATGAGTGTTCTAACTTCTTTTGAACTACGTTGGGAAGCAAGGTACTGTTCCAACTTTTTCCGTCAGAGTTCAAAACCTCTCTTCTTATCGAAAACTTGGATTGATGCGAACACGATTTAGATACCACTGAGCGAGACATCTGCTTCCATTAAGAAGTCAACATCAACACCAACAATCTTATTTGACACCAACACTAAGGCATGTTAAAATGAGGTCAGATGCCACTACCAATACGAATGGAGAAAAATCGATACAAAGTTGGGGACTTCCCACTCAAAATATGTAGATCCAAGTTGCGCCGAAGGAAAAAGCAATTGTTACACAACTAAATACTTCTTTATGTACAACGAATCAATTACCTAATAAACAATTACTCAAGCGTACTTATCAATTTAGAACAGCGATGGGAAACAAAAGGGATGAAATAACCATCTAGCGAACTACGTTTAGGTAAACCCAACGCGTGCCCACTCACCTTTAGAGGTATTGACACGTGTACATGACAGGAAAGATACGAATGACTCAAGAAGAAATGAAAGTAACGGTCATCACTGTAAATTGTCCGATTGATATAATACGGGCGACTACGGCTCTGATACGATACGGCCTCAAACCGATTATACATGAGAAAGAAGGTAAGGAAAAAAACATACGCCTAATAGGTAAACACTAAGAAAAGCCTCATGAAGTACAGCAATGGGTGTAAAACTAAAACAGTGGCGAACCTTCTTATGCTGGGTCACGGACTGGGCAAGTCGGTTGCTGGGACAAAAAGCGGCTTTTTCGCTTTTCGCAGCGCGACACTTTTGCGCTGCAGGAACCCCAGGTCCACTCAATCACAGGGTGGACCTGGGAATACTGCAGCGGAAAAATTCCGCTCTACGAAACGCGGAAAAGTCGCTTAATGCCCTGGACTCACAAAAGACTTGTTGCCAATTTTCGTTTTCCCTGAAGTTCCTCTGCTCTCCTAAGCATGGCGCTTACCGTGGTCGGCTAAATAGAGGTGCACCACTTTGTTAGTTTTGCACCTAAAGTTGATTTCAAAACAAAACAAGAGTAGAGCAGACCTAACAAACTAATTAATATGCTAACAATCAGTAAGTAAACAATATGAATATAACCGCTCATGGACAAACGGCTCTTGACGTTATCATACAACCACCGACAAGGAAACAGCCCGACGTTTACTTGAAAGGAAAACAAAATCTTCTGTGAGAAAAAAAATGGAATAGAACAGATCTTGACAAAAAAACGACATCTATGCATCGTACAAGCAATCAGTAAGGTTCTAGCATGATCACATTGGCGTTATTTCTGGATATAAATTGATCACAAACTTCTCGTCACTGTGCTATTTCAAAGAATATTACAAAAACAAAAACTACACGGCTTAGAAAACAAGAAGCAACTAAACGAGGATGCTGCTTGAATGTTTTTGAGCAATGTAAAATCGCCCTAGAAATGCATTGACGGCACGGAGCTCACCGATTCCATTGACAAGGTCGAAGGACGCATGGAGAAAGGACGTGAAAAAATTAAGTTGTCGAGCGTTCTCTGCAGTACCGGAGCACCAACTGATTGTGATGCTGTTGACGTGAGAATTGATCTCGATGTCGACGGTGAAGAAGATGTGGACGACGTTGACGACGATGAAGCCGAGGAAGACAACGACGACGAAGCAGCCAAGGTACTCGCACGACCAACCGACCGTGAACGAGGTGGCGAACAAGGCACACGCACGAACGGCTCTGTCATTTCCTCGAGCAAGTTCTGCTGAAAATGAGAGATAAGATAAGAGAAAGAAAGTGAAGACCTCAAGCACTATAGTAAAGTTAAAGATCATAACATGATGACTTTAAAGTGGTATCCATTCTGCCAAATTTTTTAGTAAGAATATCAAATGGTGCCCCGGTAGCGTAACTGGTAGCGCACTTGCCCGGAAAGCGAGAGGTGCGGGTTCTAGTCCCGCCTGGGGCGAAAGTTTTGTTCACAACCCAGCATTCTTGTGAAATATCAACAGCATCCAAGCTTTAAAAGCAATTCTAGCAAATAATATCTATCAAAAATAGACCATAAATAGGTAAGAGCACCCAGTTATGCCATCAGTTCCCACAGCCCAGTTACTTCCTTGTTATCGTGAGTAAAAACAGGGAGTTTCTTTGTGGTTCAACAACTGTTCCGGGAAGTCGATAAAATGTCTATCATAACATTTTTGAAATATTGAAAACTGCAATAAAAACTGGAACCAGGGTCAAGCATGCGGTAACAAATCCAAGAATTAATTGAATATC